GGCTAAAACTACAAGGTAAATCGTACATATGAAGCCTGGTAAAATAATAACAACAATAATAATGAAAACTTTTTTTCATTGTGTAGGTTCCACTAAAGCAAAGTTGCTTGCTCGCTATTGTCCCCCTTATGTGCAGCAATTTGCAACATAATTTGTGCCATTACTGCTGGCATGCAACTCCAGCTCTTTGGTACAACCAATGGTGTGGAAAATTGCATCTCCACAGTCTATCAGTGCAGGATCCTGGGAGTGGGGTGGGGGGGTTCAAGAAAATTAGAAAAAATTAGAAAAAAAATTGAAAATAAAAGACACTTTTTTTGTTTTTGTTTGAGTGACGCACTACCAGGTATATTTTTCCCTGCAGGGACACAATTCATTTCAGGGGACTGCAGTGAGTGACGTATACCAGCGGTCCCCAACCTTTTTTGCCTCACGGACTGGTTCATACCTGACAATATTTTCACAGACCGGCCTTTAAGGTGTCGCGGATAAATACAACAAAATAAAACTAGTGCCGGTACTGAAAAAAAGATTTATTCATAACACACGTGAAAAGACCCAGGAAAACTGAGTTAAAGATAAAAACGATAACAAAATAACGCTGAAAACCGATAAAGACCCTGAAAACCATACATTTCACACCTGAGCCTCAACTCTCGCGGCCCGGTACCAAACGACTCACGGACCGGTACCGGTTCGAGGCCCGGGGGTTTGGGACCGCTGACGCACACAATGTTGTGGTGATGTATTGTGTTGCAACATCAGTGTGTGTACAAAGTGGCCATTGAGTCAAGCATAACCTCAGATTAATGGATAAATGGTCAAAATGGATATCTTACTGTATAGTTGCTTGGAATATACAGGTGCTATAAATAAATGGTCAAAAACGTTGCACCATAAAATATTAAAAACGCTTTCATGGCATTTTTGTTCACTTTTAATAAAGTCAAATTAAATTTTGTTTCTTTTTTTTTGTTCTTTCATTATAATTGTTAATGCTTGATAATACATTTTGTTCTGTTTGGTGCAATCTCTCAGGTTCTGAAGGGCATATGCCAGAAAAAGTTTGAGAACTGCTGGATAAAGTAAAAGTATATGGTTACATGATTGCAGAACTACAGGATATATTGGGTGAAAATGTCTAAAAGTACTGTAGAGCTATACCAGGCAGAAAAAGCTGTAATAAACCACAGTGTTGATTACTTTTTGGGAGAAGGTAGTCAGTTGAGTAACAGTAGGTAAAAGGCTGAACTACTCTCTCTCCGTCTCCCTCATCAGGACCCCGGGTCAGGCGGTATCGACTGGGGCGACAGCGCAGAAGCTCCCATTGAAATTGAAATTGTGGATGTGGGCACAGACTGTGAGAAACTTTTTTTTCCCCTTCTAATCCTTTTTATGTTTGCAGCTGTCACATGCTCAGCTGCTGAAATGTCCCTTTGCTAAAAAAGACTCATTTTATTTTGAAGGCCCTGAGGGAGTGGCGAGGGGTGAAGATGCTCTAACTGTACTGGAAAACCCTCAGTCACGCAGCCGGTTCATTGACCAGTTGATGGAGGTAAAGACTAC